CCACAGCTCTCAGATGCATTTAAGAACATGCTTGTGGAGTCAGAGCTGGCAAGAGCTACCATGTTTTTGAGACCACTAATGCAAAATGCAAACTTTCCTTATTCTTTCATTCAGATGCAGTTGTGACAAGGCAGAAGCAACCACTGCACAGTCACACAGCACAGAAGAGTGTCATATGGGCTAGCCATGTTGTTGTCTCCTTTCCCATACTACAATCAAGGGACTCGTAAGGGTTCCTCACATGCCTCTCTGTCTACATTTGAAGACAACAGCTCTTCTTCCCTCTCCAACCTCAGGGAGTGCTGCTGGCTGGCCTTGCTCTCCCTGCCATGACAAGAAGGAGCCTCAAGTGGAGAGAACAAGGGAGTTGGTGGCTTCAACACTTCTCAAACGTACTTCTCAAAAGAAGCCCTTGTTCTAAAGCAAGTAACAAACAAAGCCAATACGCTGAATTAGATTAAGAGATAGAAAGTGTTTTGGGTGCTACAGGCTCAGGATGAGAGCCATTGAGGGAGCTGTGGGGAGTGTGGGAGGGGGTTGAGGGGAAAAGCTGAGCTCATTGCATCCCAACCAGACAACAGCAAGCAGGAAACAGATGTGGAAGAAACCACAGAGGGGTACAGCAACAGCAGAATTAACTCTCCAGCAAACAGGGGAATCTCAGATACACAGAATTGACCCGCACCATAAGAACAAGGCATCAAGTGTGAGATTTGGGCTTTATGCAGACCTGGTAACACCTTCTAGCCCAAGACCTAGACACTAGCATACCAAAAAAACAAAGGGAATAATTCCGCCTTTTTCCAAGTCCTACCTGGCTCTAACCATATGAAGCAAAGGTAGGTTTGGATCAGTAGCAGTTCCTATGCAAAAGACTGGATTATCTTTTACCATCACAATCCAATTCTGTGTGCATTTCCATTTTAAAAAGTGGAAGTTGTACCTAGCTGTATACCTGAAATCCTAGCTTGAATCTCCCACAGTTAGAAGCACTGGGAATATTAAACTTCCTTTTGATTTAGTTCCTCTCACTTTAACAGCTTTGACTCTTACAACAGCGTCCTCTTAGAACACTTCTGTAATATAACCAGAAGCAAGACTGTTCTTTGTGACTGTTTTCTTAAGCAGTTCAGAATGTCCTGCCCCAGCTAAAGATGGTGCACAAACTTGTGTCTTGTCTTCTCTGCTAGTGCATTCATCACCAGAAAATTATACTGTTGTTATTACAGGAACTGAGTGCCTGATATGCAGCTCCCACTGAATTCAGCAGAGGCACAATGCATTTTTCTCCTCTGGAAACCAAGCTGCTTATCAAGAGGCCAAAACATGACTCTAATGTTAATCCTTCAAGACTACTATCTGTTAGACCCACTGCGCTCATACATTTCAATGTATAAAGTTTGGCACAATAAAATATTTTAATAGAGGACATTAGTATTCACTTCCTTCTGCATGGATGCCTATCCATGTCCAAAGTCTGGGCATGGACACTGCTTTCCAGTGAAGCTTTTATATTCCAAAAGATCACTTGCCTTCAAGTGTGGATTCAGTGCTGGAAGTGACACAGGAGGGACTACGAAAAATTAGACAACTTTTCCTCATTGGTATTGCCAGCCATCATTCTCTTATGTCTGATGTGAGCTTGTCCTCATACACGCTGCTATTTAAGCCATTGTTTGATAATTATGGTGAGGAGGAAGAGAAGTTTTTTTTTCCCTCTTACCAAAGAAAGACTTGAAAACATAACCCAGATACACACTGAAGTTTCAGAAAACAGAAAGCAGACAAAAAGCCAGCATTGATTTTATGTCGTGGTTTTTGTGGCCTAAGTCATGATTTTAAATACCTGTGTGCACTGATAGCAGTCTGCCCCCATAAGGACTGTGACTAGTGTCTGTGCAGAGACTGCCAGCAGGAAAAGGCCAAGTAGGGTCAAATGTGGTACTGACAAGAACTGATTTGAAACATAGTAAATTCAACACATCTGAATTTCTAACCAGCCACCAGACATCCACATCTGCCCATCACCACTGACCTGTGTCAGATCTGAAGAATCAACTTAGGGCTAAGGGCTTTGGATCACATTTTTGGCTCCTGAGCTGCTTCATTGTACCTTCTAAAGTCTTCCTATTTGATCGTTTTTAAATACTTTGTAGTTCTGCTGCAGCTTTCATCGTATTATCATAAAGTTCTTTCTAACAGAGGCTTAGGTACATGAATCTGTTAAGGGAGACAGCAGCATCTTTGGCTCTCTCTGAAGTGAACCATAGCGAATTATTAAACAGTTAAATGGGAAGAAAGGAAATGCTGATACCTTTAGCAGGATATAATTCTCTCCACTGGAATTTGGCAACAACACAGAGACTAAGGTCCTTACAGAAAGCACAAATTGCTCGTCAACAACCGGAAGTACGTCGGGACTCAAGTTGTGCCTCTCCTCCACAAAGCATCGCACAGGTAGTGCAGCACCCCCTATCTGCAAAGGTCATGTACTAACCCAGAGGGGAAAATTCCAAACGGAATCGGCACTAGCCTTGGCCATCCCCTGTGGTCCCCTGGCCAGCACCAGCAACGTAGGTCTCGGCCTCTCCTTGCCTGTGCAACTCCCGTCACACACAACGGCACTTCGGGATGGTGTAAAGCAAACCTGAGCACTGAAAGCACAGCCAGTATGACTCGCGTCCTGCCGGGCCCACAGCATCTTCTTTTCCATTTAACCCTTCTGGGTGCATTTTAAAACCTGCTTTCAGAAAGGTCCGCAATCAAACGTTTGCTGAACGGCAGCCAAAGTGCTCTCCTGCTCCTCATCACTCTCAGATACAGAAACAGTCTAGGAATGTTGTTGCTTCTTAGTAGGGAACAACCTGAGCCTGCATCCCACCAGTTAAACACACAACACTATGTAAAGCAGTGAGAAAGCTACAGCTTTATGTCCCTATAAAACTTGCTGCTTACAGGAGCATTGACTTGTCACTGGAAATAATTCTTAGCAGGACAATTCAACTCTTCCCAGATCAACCATCTCTCATACCCTAAATTCTCTTCTAATTTGGTTGCAAGTTTGTGATGTCCTGGTGACATCTCAACCTCCATTTTTTCCCCCAAGACATCACTTCAGCATTCTTGGTCATTCCTCTTCATCCTGAGAGTCCTACTACCAACAAAATTAACATCTCTAATACTTTAATTTCTTTTCCCCTTGTTCTGATGAATTGGAACTTCCAATCTAACTTATGCCCTTAACAATAAACCTATAACAACTGAGTCTTTCATTTCTGGATCCCACAGTACTGGCAATGGGATATGCTACTGAACAAACTGCAGTCCTGCATAAAGGAAAGGAACTTCCTATTCTCCTCCACCCCTCCTCAGCATGGAGAGATAAGTACATTGGAACTGTGAAACATGCCACAAACGAAATTTGAGAAAACGTCCTTCCTTCTTGTTCTCAAAAGACTACTTTTTTTAAATAAAAGATGGGATTTTACATAATAGATTTTGTTCGTCTGGCCTAATTTCAACTGCAGTAACTTTTGCCTTTAAAATTCCCTTTGCTGCTTCAAGTGAATATACTGCCTGTGCCAACCTTTCCTGTGTTGTTTTCCAGTGCTCCTGTAAACAGCTGTAAATAGTTCCCCCACCACAGAGGTTCATAGTAGCACTGGATGGAATTTATCTGCCTGCGCCTCACACTGGCAAAGGGACATCAGCTCATTAAGTGTGTTATTTTTTTGACATTTCAATTCAGTTGCTGTTAAGAGCTATATAAGTTAAAAGATCCAGTACCTGTTACAGACAACCAATTGAATTGCAATTGAATGTTTGGTTTCCCCATACCTAAATAAATACACGTATATAACATTTTATCTTAGTGACATATTTATTGCCCTCTTCACTGTGCAACAGAAAGGACTCCTGTTATGCAGTAGATCCCTCTGCCAGTGTGTTTCCACACTGCATTTCATCAACCACACACATCAACAAATACAAAGCTGACATTGCTGCTAGAAATATTTTTGGTTTGGGGGTCTTTGGGGGGTTTTGTTTGTTTGGGCTTTTTTGTTTTGTTTTGTTTTTTTCTGGAAATAACCTGACATTGTTAGAATCGGTTAATTCAAATTGGAACATAATGCTAAACCTGGATCACAATGCTAAAATCAGAGATGGTAACAGGCATGTATTTATTTTTTTTCCTCTTGCTAAACTGAAGGTCCTTCTGCTGGCCAAACTCACAACCACTTCTCCTGTCATCCAACCCACTTTAAGAAAAAGTGTTCTGCTCCTTCCCTCATCAAGGATTCATTTAAGATTTAGGACCCCTTTATTTTATTGGAGTTACCTCTTGTCTGAGCTACTGTTCTCATTCAATACATGGGAGCATGAAGATCTTGGGGACAAGAAGTGAAGGCCAACAGGCAGAGTGGTGAACATGTTAGCTCAGATGCCTCCTACACCACACACGATACTCCACCTCATAACCCAGTCTCTGTCCTGTCTCCATCCATCAGTCCAAGGATAACAGGGGAATTGCACTGGAGTCCAGTTCCTTCCTAGAGTCCTCCAAAATTCTAGTCTCATGGACTTAAGGTGGATTTTGAATTCCTGGAGGAGGCAACACTGAGCACATTTCAGATTTCCAAACCTGACTCCCTAAAAGCCTGTTACTCCCTTCCACAGCCAGGCAGATGGGAGAGGGCATCACAACCGATATCGGGCTGTCTATGTACACACTTAGGCAGCCCGAGAACCCCAGCCCAGTCCTTTCCACACACACAGCACTACTCATGCAAGGGTCATGCAGATGCCTGATCAAAGCAATCTTCCGATAGTTCATTCATTGTGAGTAATGGGGCAGTGACTCCACTTCCCAAGGATAAATCAGCTCCAGGTTGTCTAACGCTTAGCTTTTGGAAAGGTCTGGTTTGCAGTCCTACCAGTAAGAACAGGAGGACACACGCTTGGCTTTTCCGCAATCAGAGTGAGAATAAAGAAGCATTTACCATCCTGCCCAGAGCTCTCGAGATATTCCGTCAGGTCGCAGCCGAATGCGCTCGCGGCTCCCTTCCTCTTGAGTTTCTGTTTGGCTCCCTTGTTCTTCATGAGGTTAGTCCCTAAAGAGGTTCACCCCCCTCCTGCCTTGCCCCCCTCCCCCCGGCCTCACGCTGGGCGACAAAATTCTTGCTCTTCTCCTCAGACCACTGCCCGTGTCCCGCTCCCAGGGAGCAACATCGGGGGTCCCGTACAGCGTCCAGCCAGAGAAGTAAACATTAATCCCCACCAGATGTTGGGCTGCTCCTGTGGCAGAAGGTCAGGGCGAGAGGAGTCTCCACAGCCCTCAGAAGCAGCGATCATAGCCTGAGCCCAGAAGGGTTCTCAACAGAGGCGAGTGGGTGGTGGATGGGTGCCCGCATCAGAGCTGGCAAGTTGGAGGTAGGAGATGATGAAGGGACGTCTTTCCTCTCAGCGCAATCCCGGACCCTCCACAGCCACCTTTTGGGTTTCGTCAGCCACGCTGCCGCCACTTCCAGCAGAAGGAGTCCCAGTCTGGTCGTCCTCCTTTTGACTTTCAGAGGAGAGTGGTAGTTCAAACGGACTAATGAAAAGGGACTGGGGAAGAGGCTGCACAAGGCTCCTCGTTGGCTCCCCCCCTTCCCCTCCTCCTGATTTGGACAGTTGGAGGAATGAGAAAACAGTTTCCTGTCCTGACTCCCGCTCGATCGCTGTCTCCTTTCCCCCGTTTTACAAATCCTAGGATTATCCAGCTCAAAAAAGCGCTGAAAGGAAGTTAGCTGAGGAGGGGGGTGGAGGACGGTTTTTGGCAGTAAAGTGCGCGCGCGCGCGTGTGTGTGTGTGTGTGAGCGAGAGGCAGAGGAAGGCGAGGAGAGGAGTTGAAGAATAGAGAGGGGGATCGGGGAAAGAAGAGGGAAGATTTGCCCTGACAGTCGGCAGACAACGAACTGCCCGGGAGGAAATCACTGCGGGACGACGCAGCCCCTGGCGCGGGCAGGAGCTTCCTGCTCTGCCAGCCCGCAGCTCGGCAAAGGCCGAGCAGGGTCCGGCGAGGAGCACAGAGAACAGGAACCTTTCCAATAAATCTCTGCCTCTGCGCGCCGAGTCCTGCGCTGCAAGGCGCCTTCGTGCCCTCCAGCATTACTGTCACTGCAGGATCTGCCTTCCTCTACAGAGGTACAGCCTGGAGCTGCTGAAGTGCAAGAAGGGGACAGAGAGTTGGGAAATTAAAGAGAGGATGGGAAGAGGGAAACCTTCGGCTTCATCCTCCCGGGCAAGCAGAAACAGATGCTGTCCGGGCATCTAAGTTCACATACTTTTGAGTCACCTCTCAAAAAAGGCTCCTCCTGATGACCTAAGGGATTTTAGATAAGGAGCTGAAATGACTCAGTACAGCAAGAAGGGAAATGGGACAGGCCTGCCTTCAGGCCCTGAGCCTTGTCTGTGTCATCACCCCCTTCACACCACAAACACTTTTCTCGTCCTGTTTTCAGTACACCTCATAAGAGCAGTTCCTTGCACTTACTTCACAGTTTTTTATCCCAGAAATTTAGATCTTTACAGGACTGGGTATGCCCACCATCATGCTCAGGGAGACAAAATTAACTCTCTTAAGGCTTCATTGACCCCTCTTACTCTGTGCCAAATGTAGCTGTATGGGTCTGAGTTAAAAAATGAACAAACACATGAAAAATAGGGTATTGCAGCTTTTTACCAAAAATCAGGCCAAAGACAAGAGAAGTAGTTTTGTTTTGGAGGAAAACTGGCCAGGAAATGGGGCCAAGGACACCCTTCAGCCACCTCCCTTCACAAGCCTCAGCTCTGCACTCTCATAGGGCAGAGGAACCCCTCTGCAAACTCACCACCTTACTCATTTGAGAGCAATTTTTCAGAGAAATCAAGCCTCTCTCTGAGATCTGACCACTTCCAAAATCAATTCAGGTTCTGTTGGTATGGTGTCTTTTTCTTTAGAAGTGTTGGATATTGCCACTTCACACATAAGAAAAAACACCAAGGGATCTAGTGAGGGACCTTGCACAATTATAACTCCGATTGTGCAGTTTATCACTGCAATTATCATAATTTTTATCCCCAATTTACAGCTTGACATCTGATGGGTTGAGAGGAAAATTATTTGCAGAATGTGTCATAGAGATGTCTGGCCTGTCACCTCCCTGCCTTCTGCTCCCACTCACAGGCTAAGGAGGAAAACTGAGCTCTCTCCACCACGCCAGTGGTTGTTCTCAGGAACCTTCAGTCCTCATGAAACATTTAGAACTTCCTTGAATTTATTCTGGGCTTCTCACAGCACCTTGATGTGGAGTCAGAGCACAGGACCGGTGTGCCACCAAAGCCATCGCGTGCCATAGCACATCCTGCCTGCCTGCCAAGGGCCATACTTCACACAGTTTGCACAGACAACAGGATGTTCAGACCTGGATGCCTTGCCAGGCCATCCTCCCACTGTCTGGGTGGCTGGCTGCCTTCTGTAGGAAGATAAAGCCCTGTCCTCAGGGAGGAGATATGTCCTGCTGCACTCGCCAGCCCTTTCCCACGGCTGAGTCCCCACACCAGACCAGTGGGGAGACAACAGGTTCACCACTGTGGGTAACTACATCTGGAAGTCCTGAACTCCCCTCTGCACACCCCTCCCTCCCTCCCTGAGCTAAACAAGATGTTTCATCTCACTGTGCCAGTCTCCTCCACTGTTCTACATCAGAGGGAGGTCAATCACTAACAGGGTCTGTATTCACCTGTACTTTCGTCTGGTGAGCCTCTACATCACACTCCTGCTCTATCTCCATTTCCCTCCCTTGTCTTAGATATGGTTTCTTCACTCCTCTCTTGCAAGTTTATCCAAACAGAGTATTTTCAAAAGAGGATGCCTTCATTTTAAAATAAATAAATACATTTTAAAAATTAAATCACCCCCTGCATGAGTAAAGCTTCCTCATGTCACCAGTGAGAGAGTTCTGGCCCCAGGGGTGGGGGAGAACCCTGTCAGCATGGACCCCCTCCTGTCCTTTGCACAGCCTTGCTCCAAGGCTCAGAGTCCCAGACTATGGCACTCAGCAGCACTGCTGGCTCAGCATGTCACCCTCATCCCGTGGTATTTACTACAGGCCAGTAGGCATTTTCAGCTGAAAGCACCATTTCTTGGTGCCATCTTTGGAACCCATGGTAGTGGGTCCTGCTGGCTGATGAATACTGCAGAAATTAAGTACTGCCATCTTATTTTGGTTATTTGGTGTCTGTGGTCTGCTGTCCTTATCCCAGCCAGGACCCTGGACCCTTAGTGTCAGCACCAGGCTGCAGGACCCACCCCCAGCCATCACCACCATGGTACCATAGTGGGGAAAGCAGAGAGAGTGCTACCCGCATGACAAGAAAAACCAGTATTTGAAGCACAAAGGAGAGAAGCTAGAAACAAAACAGGGGATATTCCCACTTTATTCACAGAAGCTCTTTCAGATGCTGTAGGCTTGCTGTCCTTCTGCCTTGTGCTGCTGCCCAGCTCCTTGATCCCTTGGAGGGAGGAGAGCTGGAGAAAGGAAATGGCATGGCAAGTAGGGTGAAAGAGACGTGTGCTGAAGCAAGAGAAGGAAGATATGAGGAGGTCCAGGAGAGCTCTTGCCAGGCAGGCTGGGCTACAGGGGTGCTTCCCATACCACGAGGACAGAGGGGAGGTCGTTACAGGATTGCCCAGGGAGCCTGTGGCCAAGAGGACGAGAGGAAGAAGGAGAAGGAGGAGAAGAAGGAGGAGGAGAAGGAGGAGGAGGAGGAGAAGGTCAGGCAAGGTGAGCGAGAGCGAAACAAAGGAGGCTTTACAAGTAAAGCACTTCATATTGGAGCCTGAAATCAGCGCTGAGCCAAGGGATTTTCTCTAGAGAGGAAAAAATACAAAGTCTGGATTTGCACAACTGAGGAGACAGAGCAGGTCTCTGAACTAGTTTGACTATGCAGGGCTAAAGAGTAAGCTAGTGTCCCTCCTGGAAAAGTTTTCACAGAAGATATCAGGCAAACCTGGAGAGGAAAAGTTCTCAGGCAAGAAGTATGGAAAGCAAAACGGAATTCAAGGTTGAAACAGTTGGAAAAGTAGGGGGAAATTCTCTCCCTCCTAAAAAAAAAAATACAAAAAGAAAAAAGTGAGTGCAGAATAGGGGCAACACCAAGCCAGTCTGGGGTTCTCACAGCAGTCATGTCTCCGTAGCGATTCCTTCCTCATCTCTGCCATATGCAGAGTGTGGGGCAGTGGCCCCGCAGTGCCACAGCCCAAGTCTGGAAGACATGACCCCTGACAATGACTTTAAATCCTTCCCTTTGAACCTGTAAATATAGGTCAGGATTTTAAGTTAGTTACAAAGATCTCCCTGTCAACGAGGGCCACAGGTTCACACGGGAAAGGTGGGGCACCTTCCCACCTGCTTCTCTGCTGATCAGCGATGGCTCACCCGCCCTTCCGCTTGAGAACTGATATGCCGAGCCAGCCTTGTGTGTGAATGAACACAGCATGAATAATGACTTTACAGTTCTTAATAGTTCTGTCCATTCTCACAGACAAGGTATCGGTGACACCAGAAGCATTCCTAGAGCCTGGGGAACGAGCTTTAGCCATTAGGTCTGAGTGTTTCTTCCCCTTCCATTAAGAGCTGGGGGCCGTGGCTGAGGCGTTGCACAGGCTATTTCTGGGCACCCATCTCTCCCCTCCCTGGTGCATTTCCTTCATTGTGTTTGAGCTCTTTCCTATCTGTGGCCTTTAAATATCCACCAATCTGCCAGGCGCCACTCAGCACAGAAGAGGGGGGGAGGCAGACTCAGAGAGGGGGAGATCTGAACCCCTAAAAATAGCCCTGCCGGGTACATCTGTTTTCCTGACACAGACAGTTGTTCATTGTTAGACTCTGACACACCAGTTCACCCTCCCTCCCCACCCCTCAGCATACTCTCCTCTCCTGCCCCTCTCCAGAGCAGTTTCCTGTCTACTCCCATCTCTGTGGCCAAAGCTGGAGTGCATTGTGAAGCCAAAGGCTGGCGTGGAGTCTTTATTTCTCTGAGTACATTTTGGACCACAGACTGTAGGGCTGATCTTTGTCACAGGGCACCTATCA